CAGTCCAAGCCTGAACTGGCTTGTGAAGGCATGACTTTTCACATGAGAGAGGATACTCATTAAAGTAGCTCTTGGATATTTTGGGCTTTTTGTAGATGCTCTGGACACAGATGGTAGATTCTGTAGTTGTATTTGCCCAGGCATTTCCTTCAGGAATCGGACACTCGTTCTCACTATAGGAGTTTGCCATTGACCAGAACACTGGCTTCCTTGATTCATTTAATGCAAAGGAACTATAAAAGACCAGCCCAGCTCCAGAATTACCTTTGAACTTGTCCGAGGTTTCCTGTGCAGTCTTATTACAGTTCTTCCTTCTTCTTGACCATTCTTTTTTTCTTCCTCCTCCATAAGTTTTGCTCTTGGGAGCATGCCCCAACATACCTCTTACCTGCAACCTTAGTCTCAAATATGTTTCTGAGAAACTGTATCCACAACATGTCCATTCCCATGTGCAGGTGTTGGTTATTATTCACTGACATGGGTTGGCATCCCTGTGGCCAGATGTAGAGATACTTATTTAGAAGTGATTGTAGCTTCCAGAAGTGTTTTATTTGCTCTAGGGAACTACTTCAGACCTGGGGAGACTTAGTTCTTTAATGACTCTACCTGATAAAAGTTGAAATAAGCTTTGCCATTTGTAGGTAGAGATTTATTTTCTTCCTTTGAATCACAGTAGACACCATATAATGAATCATTTCCCATGTGATGTGAATCTGAGTCACTTCCAGGATGGCAGGAAAGTCCTGGGAGAGTCAGAGCTGCTGTCCTGGATGCCATAACATAGACTATATGATGTTCAGTACCAAAAAGATATCTTGAAAAGTGTCTTATTTCATTATTATCATTTATTTGACATTTTTGTTGTTTACTAGGTTAAAAAAAGAAAGAAGCTAATTTCTACCGCAACTTTTTAAGAGCAAAAAAATTTAGTATTTGTACTGACTATGGTACCAGATACACAGTAAATATCAGTAAACAACTGTTAAATAAAGTTCAGTAGATAAATAATTATAGTGGCTGGTTATGAGAGGCCAATGTTAGAGGATGAGGGATTTCAGATCAGCCCCTGCGTAAGTGAGACCCGACTAGAAAAATACACTAAAGCAAAAAAGGTTTGGAGTGTGGCTCAGGCCTTTGGCAGTGTAAGTGCCATGCCCTGTGTTCAAAGTCAATCCAGCCAAAAATAAAAAAATTGAATACACATCAACAGAATCTTCAGGCAGTAGAAATGGACAATGAGAAAGCCAGCAAAATCTAGTAACCATCGGGTGTCAATATCATGATATTGTTGTACATTAAACTAAGTTTAAAATATTTTGGGATGTATTAGCATTCATATTTTGGTGTTACAAAATAATATGTTTTGTGGATGTATAGTACTGGAGATTGAACCCAGACCTTACATCTGGTAAGCATGTGCTCTACCACTGAGCTACATCTCCAACCACTGTTTTTTTGGTTGTTGTTTGTTTGTTTGTGTTGTGTGTGTGTGTGTGTGTGTGTGTGTGTGTGTATGTTTTTCAATAAGGTCTTCGTATGTGGCCCAGACTGCCCTAGAACTCCTGGCTGCTAGTATTATAGGTGTTCACCAGGGTGATATATTCTAACATCGAGTTACAAGTCTGACTTGGTACAAAGACTAGGTTTCAAAAAGCGAGGCACAAATGCATTGTAAAGCAACATATTGTAGCCTAAATCCAAATAATTAGATATTTAAACTTTAAAATTTAAAATGTTTTCCATTTTATTTGTGTAAATATATTAGTCTAAAGTCTCTCTCCCTTTTTCTTTTACTCTCCTCCTTCCTTTTCCTAGCTTTGGCTTAAAATCGAAAGTAGACAGGATGCCAGCATGACTGTCATGGTTCAAAAATCAGTTGTAATCTTGCCCGTCTAGGCTCCAGCTGACATGATGTTGAGTCTTCCCTATCTCTAATGGTAAAGGGCAAATATTGCTGATGCTATCTCTACTTCCTAGCTTAGAGAGACTCTCAGGCTTGCTTTGGCTTCTTCATTGCTTGTGAAAAGCCTGACTAGCCATCTCATTTACTGGAGACCATCCCTGGGAGGGATTGACCCACTTTTAGCTCTAGCCCATGTCCTTGAATTACCCCTCCACCCCCAGTCTGCAATAAATTGGGACAGCTGGTCATCCTAGTAATTAAGGAATTACCCACAAATGTTTATTAGATGAAAGTGATTTGGTTAATTTTTTTGTTCTGTTTTAGGAAAGGCCATTTCCTGATTTACTTTATAGATCTTAGCTCAGGAGCAAACTGCAAGTAAACAAACGAAGGAGGAGGGGCAATGCATTTTAGTATATCTGTCACTGCTGCTAGACTTATAATCAAGGACAAGCTGAGTAGACGAAAAAAAAATTCTGGAACAACTGGAAATTTTTGAGGAAAAGTGGTGTTCTGTGTGTGTGTGTGTGTGTGTGTGTGTGTGCGCGCGTGTGCACACATGAGGGCGTGTGTGTGCACAACACTCTAGTCCTGCGTTTTGAACTCAGACCTAGGGACAGTCCCTGACTTTTGGTTTTTTGTCTTGTTTGGTTTTGTTTTGCTCAAGGCTAGCACTCTATCACTAGACTCATTGCTTCACTTTTGACTTTTTGGTGGTTAATTAGAGATAAGAGTTTCCGACTTTACTGCCTGGACTGGCTTTCCTATGGCTCTCAGATCTCAACCTCCAGAGCAGCTCAGATTACAGTTGTAAGCTACTGGTACCCAGAAAAAAAAAGACATTTTTAATTAAGTTCCTTTTCTTTAGTTTGGGCCTCAGAGAAGGCGAATCCTTAGACCAGTTTGTAGAGTGGAGTTGAGCAGACAATGAGTCAGGAAGGTAAGGGAAAAGGAAGCCAATAGATGTGTTTAAAATACTTAATCACAAGAACAGAATACATGGTTAGCATCATATCTCATGTTTCTTCACCTTGTTTCCTCTTCTAACATAACACTTCCTGTCACACTTGATAGCTGATTTTCCTTCCAGAGTTTGTTCAATGGTATCTTGATGGCATGTGAATTGTAAAAGGTGTACAGAATAGCTTCACTGCTGTTTTGACTAAGACTAAAGTTGAAAATGGAGACCAGACTGTAAGCTATATGAAAGAGGAGAATTTTAGTCTTGTTCTATGTATTAAACTGAAAAGCACCTGGCAAATAGTATTCAATAAACCTTTGTTATAGTAACTGTTTTCTATTCCCAACTCTTATCCAACACAGATCTAGGTGTGTATCAGAGGTGACTCAAATGAAAAGTTACATGTACACGGCAAAGATTAGAAGAAGTGCCAAAAGATAGACAACATGTAGGCACCACATAAACTAGATGACTTTGTTAACTGAGAAAGAGGAAGTGACACCTCACACTTTCAGTTACTGTCAGTTACTGGGATACAGTGAGACTTAAGTTGAAAAGCTAGTTTGTCAAAGCAAGGGTGGTGTCACAGGTGGACATCCTGAGGATATAGAATGAGTAAGTAGAGAAATTGCATAGGAAGTTAAGCTTCCTCAAGAGTTTGGTGAGTTTGCTCTAGGATAACACTAACTGAGCCTGCCTGATGGCTCACAACTATAATCCTAGCTATCAGGAGGCTGAGATCTGAGGATTGTGCTTTGAATCCAACTCAGGCAGAAAAGTCTGTCAGACTCTTATTTCCATCTAACCATCAAAAAGCCAGAAGTGGAGCTGTGGCTCAAAGGGTAGCGCCTTCAGTGCAAAGGCTAAAGAAGAGCATCCTGGCCTTGAGTTCAAGCCCCAGAACTAACCAACACAAACCAAAACAAAGACCTGATTATATATTTTGTAGCTTATACATAAAACCATAACAACTGTACATGTCAGTATTGATATTTCCATATATAATGCACAAAGTATATCTGTCTCCTCAAGCATTTGTCATTTCCATGAAATTCTTGACAGTTGGAGCCGGGAGTGATTGACAGTTGGGATGAAATATTTTGAAAGAAAAAGAGGAAGGAAGGAAGGAAGGAAGGAAGGAAGGAAGGAAGGAAGGAAGGAAAGAGAATGACAGGATGTTCCCTTAATCTCATAAGTTGTGTGATTGTGAGTGGGGGCGGGGTGGGGCAAGGTGTGAGCCAGGCCATCCCTCCCAGGGGATCTCAGGTCCTGAGTCCCCACACCACCAACGAGAGCTGTTCCTGCATCCTTGGAGAAAAAGGGTCAGGACTGCAGAATAAGTCCGGAGGTTTAGTGCCCAGGGGACATTTGTTTTTCTCAGTTCCTCTCCTTCTTCAGAAATCTGGCCTGCGTTAGTCATCTTCAGCTCGGCAGGAACCCACAAGTGTGCGTGTGTGGCCCTGCGGCCTCCAGCTGGGGCCCGCCCTGCCCCTGGAGGAGCGCACAGCACACTGACATCGAGACCAGCCCGAGCCCTCGCGCGCCCGCCCGCTAGCCCGCCCCGGGGCCTTGGCACGGCTGCGGGTGCCCGGGGGGGCCGCTCAGTCTCCTCCCATCTCGGGGAGCGCCCGGCCACGCCGCGCCCCAGCGCAACAGAAGGAAGAAAAAAAAGTTGTGCGGCGCGAGGAAGGACTTGGGCCGGTGCTCGCTCGCTCGCTTGGAAGGAAGCAGCCGGGAAGGGACTCCACTCCCAAGTTTCTGCCACGGGCCGTTGCGTCCCCGAGGGGTGGCCAGTCCCGCAGCGGCCGGACTGAAGTCCTCCGGGAAGCAAGCGGGACCCCCCCCCCCTCCCCGATCCCCAACCCTGCACCCCGGATCCGGGTGCGCGTCCCTCGCCCGAGGCTGCGCTGGAGGCCGGGAAGGAACTTAATCTGTAAGCTGTGGCCCTGGGGCCTCCATTGTCCGCGGGAACTCTCCAGAATCAGGCGCCCGAGGACCCGATTGCGCTTCCCCCGGGATTGTCTGGAGTTCCGGCAGCTGCGGCGGCGGCCGAATCTCCTTTGTCCTCCCCAGGACCTTCCTCCTCGTTCCCAGGCTCCGGCCCTGGGCGCCTGCGTCCCCCCTAGGCCCCTGTGGTCAGTCAGTCCCTGGTGACTCCGGTCTCCCGGGTGTCCCTGCGCCGCAGGAGCCGAGGGGGGCTGCGATCTGGAGGGGGGTCACCGGCCCCCGCGGGCAGGATGGTGGCCAGCCGGTCCCCGGCGCGCGGCCCCGGGAGCTGGCTGTTGCCCGGACTACTGTGGTTGTTGGCGCTCAGCGATCCCGGGGGGCTGCTGCGAGCCGAGGAGCAGCCTTCCTGCAAGAAAGCCTTTGACCTCTACTTCGTCCTGGACAAGTGAGTGAGGCAGAGAGGGGCGCGGGGGAGAAGCCGGGGGGTCTGTGGGTGAAGGCGGCGCTGGATCAGCTGGGGCTGGGGAGACCCAGGAGTCGGGGCGTCCTGAGTGGGGGTGTTGGAAAACTGCTGTTGTGGCCCTGTTGCTATCAATCTCCCTAACCAGGGCCAGCGCGCTTTCGGATTTGTTGGGGTTGGAGACAGTTTGGGGAGTGGGGGGGGGGGGGTTGGGGTGAGGACGGTTCTGCAGAGTTGCTTAGCGTTTGCTACTCTTGGGGTCTCTTGAGAAATGTGACCATCTGTGGTAGCATGTATACACACACACACACACACACACATTCACACAAACACATAAATAATTTTACTAGAGACTCACGCGAGACTTTTCCTTGACCTCTCGAGTTCTTTCCCCACTAGCACACATGCTGTAAAGTTTGCCTCGTTTTATCCAGATCACAGTGCTTTGACTGGAGCCAGGAAAAGCCTTAATATAGTCAATGTGGCTGTATTTCCTGCCAAAGAAAGCTTTTGTACTTGACTGTGAAAAGCCGCGTGTATTACTCTTTCCCAAACAGCTACTCCCCTCCAAAGACAGGCTGACATCCTTGACTGGCTAGCTCCCAAGTTTCAGCACAGGGTATCTATTTTCCTGCAGGAGGTAGGAAAAGTAGTGGAGACATGAAGAAATCGTCACATTGTTAAGTCCCATGCTTCTTCTTCTTCTTCTTCTTCTTCTTCTTCTTCTTCTTCTTCTCCTCCTCCTCCTCCTCCTCCTCCTCCTCCTCCTCCTCCTCCTCCTCCTCCTCCTCCTCCTCCTCCTCCTCCTCCTCCTCCTCCTCCTCCTCCTCCTCCTCCTCCTCCTCCTCCTCCTCCTCCTCCTCTTCTTCCTCTCCCTCCTCCTGCTCCCCCTCCTCCTCCTTCCCCTCCTCCTCCTCCTCCTCCTCTCCTTCTTCTTCCTTCTTCTTCTGTTCTAATCAGCGCAATTTCATTTTTCAGGTCTGGGAGTGTGGCAAATAACTGGATTGAAATTTACAATTTTGTCCAGCAACTTACGGAGAGATTTGTAAGGTAATTTTTTTTTCCTACTTTACTTTTCTTGGCAGGAGAAGGAAAGGAGACGAAAGTATAGAGTTTCCCCTGTCATAAAACCTTTTGCAGAAAGGTTTCTTCCCTTGCACAAAATGTTGATTTTTAAAAAACTGTCTCAAGGTGGTTATTATTACACACTTGTCATTAGTACCGCCCTTCAGGCAGCCCTTTGGGGGCTCACTTCATCTGGCTCACAAAAACTTGGCTCACACTCTAGAGAAACATCTTCAAATAATATTCCAAATGTCTTTTCCTTTTCCAGTTTTCATCTGTTTTGAATTTGTTATGCTTTCTCGTAATTTATCACATTAAAAATAAATCTTATGCTAATAGTATCCATAACATATATATGTATATGTTTCTTTTCCACACAATTCTTAGCATTGTAGACATCCTTATTTAAAAGAAAAGGAAGTGTTGCAAAACTTCAAATGAACATGTGTTAATAACCCACTACCAGAAAAAGCACTTGTGTGTGTTTTTAAAGCAATGACTTGTGTTTACACAACGTGTGGGTGTGTGGCTGGTTTAAAATTTAACTGTTCTATATATGCAATAAACTTCACTAGGAAAGACTGCAATCTTCTATAAAAAGCATTACTGCTAGGAAATCCAGCTTACTCTCTCATTTAAGAGGTAACTAGGAATTAGTGGCATCTCCAATTTAAAAATAATCCAAGGACTCTCAGCTTTTGGGGCTTTTTTTTTTTCTTTTCCTCCCCTTTCCTTTTTATTTTAAAGAAAAAAAATAATGAGCAAGTACAAGTTTATCAAGATAATGGAAAGGACATGAATAGGAGCTGTACCATTAAATATTGCTTCTTTCAGTCTTGTTAGCCCAAATGTTTTCTGTAAAACAGGCTTGGATGATCAAAACATTTTGAAAGTCATGTTGCAAGTAACTTCAAACAATCTGTAGAAGCCTAGGCAATCCTTGCTTTCAGTTATTGGCAGCAGTGAAGTAATCCCTATAAAAATGTATGCCTGTCCATGTTCAATCATCAGTCCCCTGCTTAAAAAGGCAAGTATAGCACTCTCATTTCTGTGCAGGGTCTTAGGTAAAGCTGTCTCAGAAAGAAAAATAAACAAGACCCTTTATCCTGAAATGTCAAAGCAGAACAGACAGTTGTTTATAAATCTTCTGAATGTGCAGAATGTTGTGTAGCGTTGCTCAAAAGCAATGGATCATTCCAACACAACATTTGAAGAAAAATGAAACTCTTATTCATTGGTCTGGTTTGCCAATTGAAATTTGATAATACACAGTTCCCTGGCTCATGTCCAGCTGCTCAGTTCCTAGTTAACTACCACGAAGGGTGACGACAGAAGAGAAGGATGTGTAAACCTTTGAGATAATGCTGACCTGCAGTTTGTAGGTTTTAGTTTCAGAGCTTTGGCTTCAGATCTTAGCAAATTTTGCATAGAGTTTCCTATCAACAGTTTCCTGTATCTTCCTGGGAAGGTACAGCTGACTGGGCATCATTCCTGGTAATAAGAGGATTGAGGTAGAAAAATTGAAAAGGCCTTGTCACAAGCCATCTTGTTAGTTTCTTTATTTTTTTTCCCCCTGGCACTCAAGTATTCTTACTTCAGTATAAAATTTTATGGACTTTTACAGTACTTGTGGTTGCAAAATCTAACTGGTGGCTCTCCATCCTTAAGTATGATAGTTACTAGAATGTGTCCGGGACAAGGGAAGAAGTATGTTCTAGAATATATCTCTTCAGTTGCTCTCTTTTAAAATATAAATCCTGATGGTTTATGGAGGAGTATTTGAGAGCTGAGAGTCATTTTGACTAAACCAAAGTCAACATGTAGAGGATATTAAACAGAGTTTATCTACTTAGCTCCATTTCAAAGAAGCCTAGAGTCTTCGGTGCAACCAATTTTAAAGATTTGCTAGCCACCCTTCTGTATTGTATCAATATTTCTTTAGAACATGTTTTTAACTGCCTCTTTTCTTGTTTTGCAGCCCTGAAATGAGATTATCTTTCATTGTGTTTTCTTCTCAAGCAACCATTATTTTGCCATTAACTGGAGACAGGTTAGTGCATTATCATTTCACTGCAGGCTTTTAGGAGAGATGAATCCTAAAGCATGATTGATATTCCCATGTGCTAACTCACTCTTCTGGGTGGAATCAGGAGAAAGCGCAGACAGTTTGGATCTCTGAACTAATAGAAGAGGGAGGAGATAGGAGAAATATAAAAGAACAGATCATCCAAAAGTCATGATCATTTATAGTGGTTGTGGAAGGTAGAGTAAAGTCGGATCTCTGTCTTGGTTGTATAATTACCATTTCCTAACTTTCTCTGTAACTGGAAAGAGATCTTCATTTTTCTTATCCAGATGTGATATATTAGTTCACAAGGCATCTGAATGGATGACTGGGAGGTGAAAGATAAGAGAGTTCTACTTAGATAATGTAGTACAGACTTCCTGGATTTCAGTCTTCCTCTGAGATTTACTGATGTTGAATATATTCAACTTTATAAAGAAACACACACATACACACATATCTATATCTGTTGTATGCATTCATTCTATCTCTTCTTTCACCAATAAATTTCTCTCTATATATTTACAATTCTATACATTATATGCAACAATTTCTGTATCATCTGATCATAACATGATGTTACAAGTAGTCACTGACATAGTAAAGAATGTCTACATGGAATCAGTTTTGCTTATTGAAGTATGAATTGCATAATTGGAAGTCCTCCTTTCTCCCAGCAGTGCTGGGGTTTGGATGTTTGCTACAAAGTTGTTTTATGATTTGAGCCACTCCTGCAACATTTTTGCTTTAATTATTATTTTTTGCCTGGGCTGGTCTGTACTGTAATCCTTCATAGCAGGCATAACAGGCCTGAATCTTGTGCTCAGCCTTTTTATTGGTTGAGATTTGTGGAGGTGGGGGGTGGGGGGAGTGTCTCACATACTTTTACCTGGGATGGCCTCTAGCATCAATCTCTGAATCCCAACCTCTTAAAGTAACTAGGATTACAGGCATAAGCCACAGGGCTGAGTGTCTTTGTTTTGATATCTACTTAATCTAGCACAAAGTTTACAAGATCTTGTTTGATGCATTCTTGTTGAATGCATGGGACTAACTTTATTTTGGAATCAAAGTTCTCCAATCTGTAGTTTTAAACAAGGGAGACCAGAATACTTTGTTTTGCATGCTATGTAAATTTCTGATAACTTTTGTGTGAATACAAGTCTCTGGTTAAAATCAATTTAAAAATTGATGGGTGCTTCCTGACCTTTTCAAGAAAGCATGAAAGTAAAAGGATTTCAAGGATAGAATTAATTGATATTGCACTAACTGGATGTGAAAGGCTGTGCATACAAGCATCTAATGTTTTCACTGTTTTCCTTGTCTTGGAGATAAAGATCTCTCTATAAATGGTGGCTCCAGTTTAGCATTTCAGTCTTCCCTTTGGCACGCCACTTTCTTAATTTCTTGAGGGCATGTGGTTCTAATCATTGCTTAGACCAACATTAGTTCCTTGTAGCCATGTACAACAATCTTCCCTGCTTAGTGAAAAAAAATTTTTTGCCTTTATAAAGAGAAGGATTTTCCATTACCCAGCTTAATTTCCAAACAGCTAGGTTTGGATCCAGAGAAGCAAGTAAAAAAGAACAATTTTTAACACTTACCGCATGCATATAGATAGGAAAGCACTTAGCACAATGCCAGACACAAAGACTCAGTAATTGACAGCTACATACATTGTGCCAGGTTCTCTGCTAGGCATTTGGCATATGCTTCTCCAGTATGCTGAAGATGAAGTGTAGTCGCTGGTCGCCCAGATGCTTAGACATGCATGGAAGGAGTTTACATCTTCTGTCTATGATAGAGATCCTTTCATTACCAGTGATGGAATGCAGTCAGAGAAACAACTAAAATGGGTGTGACAAGAGGTTTCTTTCTCAACAGACCGTATAATGTTGAACTTAATACTGGACCAAGTCTATCTGAGTTAAAATTCTTTCTTCCAGTTTACTAATCAAATGGTTAAGGATAACCTCTTGGTGGTGATGTTGGTGATGATAATGATGATGGAAAAGGCTATCTTATGCAGCTGATACAAGAATTGAAACTGTGGGAGAATGTAACACAGAGTCCAATTTAAAAAAAGTATTGAAGACATAAAAGCTTTACTACTACTACTATTACGTTAGTATTTTAATATGGCAGTATTTTAGTCACTAGGGAAGAATTATACTTAAAGAGAATATTAGCCTGCTTACATGGATTTATAATATTCCAGGATGTGTGTAAATATTATTATTTGCAACCTTTTCTGGCTCTAGTTAGAAATACTTCTTTTAATGGATTTCACTAATTGAGATATGTTAAATTGGTTTGGGGGTGGCAGAAATTACACTGAGAAATTCTGAGTGAGAGTTCTGGTATTTCCCCTTAATGATTTGGAGGTCAATCATCTACTCAGTGTGTCAGTCTTTTTGTCTGTGAAATACGGATATAAAATCTGTTATGTATTCTTAGAAAGTTATGAAGATAAAAACAAGATAAGCCAGGTGCCAGTGACTCAAGCAGGCTAAACAAATCCTCAAGATTCTTAACTCTAGTTAACCAGCAAAATGCAGAAACTGGAGACCTGGCTCAAGTCATAGAGCACCAAGTGTTATCCAAGAGAAAGCCTGAGGTTTGGAGCTCAAGCCCCAGTAGTGGCAAACACACAAAATAAAAAGCCAAAAGATGATATATGTAAATATATTTTGCATGAAAAATGAGTAGTCTTCAAGAAGCATGCCATTTAATTTCTACATTGTTCTTTCACTAATGTTACTAAGTCAGTAATTTCTAAAATTCCATGGTCTCTATATTGGGCTTTGGGATTACTTTTCTTCTATTACAGAACTTTAAGCGTGTAAATTAATTTGTATATTTAGATACATGATCACTGAATAAATGTCCCTAAAACTCTTCTGGGACTTTCCTTCAAAGCCTAGAAATTAGAATCCTGCCTACATATAAACTTTTTCAATGTCTCATTTAGCTGTAGAATCTGGAAAGCAGTAGTAAGCAAAGGAAAAGTACAAGTTTCACAATTTCAGTTCCGTTCTTCATGATCTTCATTACCTTTGTAAATATGAGAAGTAGCTCTTTCATGTTTCTTAGGATGTTGCTAAAGGTTTTCTGTAGAGAATGAGGCAAATCCAAAAGGTAGTGACAGCAGTGCCATATCTTCTGTTAAAAATTTCATAAGGTGTTAATGTCATGTAAATGCAGAAATAAGATGATAACTATGGCAGGAACGTTTTCAGTTATATACAAAATATATAAGCATATTTTTATATGCTTATTATTTTAAAATACTCTTTTTATATGTTTTTTATTGTAAAAATACTGTACAGAGGGGTTACAGTTACATGAGTAAGATAATGAGTACATTTCCTATCGAGCATTGTTACCCCCTCCTTTGTTTTTCCCCCACCATCCCTTCCCTCCTCACCTCCCCAAACTCTTCCCCCCACCCTGATGTTGTAAAGTTTGTTTTCAACATAGTGTCTTGTACATCTCATTGTTATAATGGGCCAACCTGTATCCTTATTTAACCATTTTGTTATTTCCCTTCCCCTCCCCAAATTAGAAAAATGTATATACAAGATGCAGGGCACCAGAATCAAATACAGTGACAACAGGGGTTATACCATGGGGGAAGAACATACAAGAGAAGCAAAAAACAAAAAAAAATCACATTCTGTTAATGGTGTAGTTTTGATTTAGTAGAAAATGTTTATCCAACAGTTATTATATGCCAGGCAGTAGGCAATGTGCAAAATCGCAAGCCTCAGTTAATCCTCCTGACAATTTTGTGTAATTGATAGTTACTATTACAACTGTACAAGAGGAAAAAGAAGCTAATAAAAATATGTAACTTGTCTAAAGAGACACAGCTAGGAAGTACCAAGAAGTGTTAGCGGGAATGACCCTTTAAAGCTTAAAGCAGATCCTGCCACCCTTATGCTTAAAACACAAAGTCTTAGCACAGAAAGCAAATGCCTCCTAATGGTCTCAAAGATCCAGTCCCCTTCTATAGCTCTCCTATAGTCTAAACCAATCTTCCTGTGTTAGGAACATGTCAAGCTTGTTTCCCAATTAGAATATTTGGTCTTTCTGTACTCTGGGTCTTCTTAGTCTGACTTATTAACCCTATGTCATCTGTCTTTATAGATGTATCCCATGATAGAGCCTTGTGCTTTCTACATTTCTCAGTCCTACTCTTCTATGTCAATTATGTGTATTTCTGACTTAATTTAAATATATGTATTTGCCCCCAGTTGACAAAGTTATAATTGTTTGATCTGAACACACAATTCAGTTACTTAAGAAAAAAGTAGATCTTAGACAAGATTTGTAGGGAATTATAGAGAAGTCATTTAATAAAATTTGGACAATATATACATTTTTATTATTTGAAATAGTTTATTCTAATTCTTTAAAAATGAGTTAAAATTTACCTATGGGAAAGTAGTAGTTTTCCATAAATAATTGATAACATAAATTGGTGCATCTAGTTTTGGGGGGAAATTAGTCTACATGAAAGTCTAGAAAATTTTTATACAGTAACTCTGTTTTTCAAGACGGCATATTATTGGAATACTACAGTGAGGTATGTATATATACAATGCCATATACTTTAAGTCATCTATAGACTGTTCATGATATCTAATGCCATTAATAGTAGGTAATCGTTGCTAGGAAATAATTGCATGAAAAATTTATGTATATGCTTAGTAGAGATTAATTAAAACCATTTTGATCTATGGTTGGTTGAATCTACCTGTGCCTGCTTCTCCAGGACTTTCTCACAAGATTTTTAATTTAATTTTTCCTTTATTTAATTTAAAAATTTTAATTCCTCTCTCAGTTTTCCTTTATTTCTCTCATTTTGGTCTCTACATTAAAAAACATTGCCCTTCAATTTGCTTTGGAAGCTCTGGTTAGAATCAGGAGGAACCACAGACTAGATGAACAAAATCAAGAAACGAGTGACCACTATCAGCAATGATGTCAGTAGTTCTTCTACTTAGTATTTGTTATGCCCCATTCTTTTTTTTTTTTTTTTTTGCCAGTCTTGGGGCTTGAACTCAGGGCCTGGGCACTGTCTCTGAGCTTCTTTTGCTTAAGGCTAGTACTCTACCACTTAAGTCACAGTGTCACTTCCGACTTACTCTGTTCATGTAGTACTGAGGAATCCAACTCAGGGCTTCGTGCATTCTAGGCAAGCACTCTACTGCTAAGCCACATTCCCAGCCACCCCCATTAATTCTCACAATGGTCCCATGGGTAAGATGTCTGTATATCTATTTTATAGATGAGAAACAAGGTGGGACTTGAAATTAACCCATATTTTCTCTACCAGCCTATGTCACCTTAATCTATATTATCACAGAAAATGTGTCCACAGTTTGAGGTTATTCTGTTCATTTCAAACCTCTTAAATAGACTAATGGCAACATAGGTGAGGGAAAGAGCTCTCCAACAAATGAGAAGGTTTAAAAATTAGGTTAGATCAGAGGTTCTTCATCCTGACTGGATATCTAGAGCACTGTGGAATCATTCCTTATCTTCCCTTTTCTATTTACTTCTCAGCAGAGAAATTTGTGAGACACTAAAAACTGAAAGTTCATAGATTAAAAATACTACTTGTTACATATGGCTTACTCTCTCTCTCTCTCCTCTCTCTCTCTGAAAACTTTTCTCTCTCCTTTATTTCAGTCTCCCTCTTCCAGTTGACTATAGAGTTTCTTTCCCTGATCCTCAATTTCAAAGCCAGAAGTTTAATCAACCATTTTATTTGTTTAAATCATGCCTCTTTCCAAAACATATTTCAGGCTGCATAGAACATAATAACGTACTAGACAATTGAAAAGTAATAAATGTTAAGATCTTGGAGAAGAGAATGAAGCAGATTGATAACTATAGGAGCTTAAGAGAATTTGGTGAATAAGTAAGACATTTACTGTACGTTTCCTGATAGGCACAAAGAAGTTGCATAGTTGTAAATAACAGAAAGGGGGAAGTGTATAGCAGCTACTGAGGGGTGACAAAGAAACTTCTGCTGTCATTCTTTACAGGGGACTTTGCGTGACAGCTGTATCCTTGGCAACATCATCACAACAAATACTGAAGTGGTTTCAATATTACTGTGCCTTAGAGAGCTAAACCCAGGGAAGCTGATCTTTTAAACTGATGGTAGCTTTGAGCTTACCTTTATAATATAACCACTTCTCATCCTCTCTCTCACTCTTCCTTTCTCCTCTCTAATTCCCTGCTTACTTCCCTTTCAAGCTCTTCCCTTCCCTTCCCTTCCCTTCTTTTCGTCTCTTCTTTTCATCCATTCCTAGGGCTTGAACTCAAAGCTTGGGAGCTGTCCCTGAGCTTCTCTGTGCTCAAGGAGCACAAGTGCACTACCACTTGAGACACACTATCACTTCTGGCCTTTTCATAGTAGTTTATTGGAAAGAGTCTCACAGACTTTCCTGCCCAGGCTGGCTTTGAATTGTGATCCTCACATCTCAGCCTCTTGAGTAGCTAGGATTACAGACATGAGCCACCGGTGCCCTGCTTCCTTTCCAGTTTTTTTTAAGATCACAATGTCTATGAATGAGTTCTCTGTTCACCCTCCTGTATAATTTTACTTTTTCTCATTTAATGATTTACTAGTTTAGAAATTTAGAAATTGTTATTATTATTACTACTATTATTTTAATGAAGTTTAGGTCCTTTGATATCTGTTCTGTCTTGTTTTGACTTCCAGTTTCCCTAAACTGATTAAGAAGAGGCTGATGGACTGGGTACTTACCCAGGAAAAACCCCATAGTAGGCCTATGTGTGTTAATGTCGTGAGCTACAGGCAAGGATCAGTTTATTGCTATGGCAAGGCAGGGTGGTTTAGGATATTGTAGTGGCAGGCTTGTGTATGGATAGCAAACTGTGGCATGCTCAATCTCCTCCACTCCAAGTCTTGTTCTCCTGTTGTCTGGTCCTTGATGTGGTGGTGAGCTGATCTGAATGGAATGGGAAGGCTATTTTTACTGTGAAGAATCTGTTTGTGCAAATTCACATTTCAGTCGTCTTGTTCCTTTTCCTTTTGGCAGCAAACATTAATGCTTGAGGACACACTGCCACTCATTTCTGGGAAGCACCAAATATTTGGTTTTTATCTGCATTCAGTCATAATCAGTTTCGAGTTGTTTCCATAGACATCAAACATAAATATTTACATAAAACAAGCTTATAAATTATGTAATACACTCCATCATCTGTGGAATTATGAAATTTTCTGTTAGATTGAAAGTTTTATTGAGCATTTACTTTGCAAAAGGCATGTACTAAGTGCATAGCAGGGGACTACATCATAAATGAAAGACACTGGTAGCCCGTTGCAAACTTCCAATTGAGTTGAGAAGTAAAAATGTGAAATCAAATTTAATTAATGAAATTAGTTAAATTATTTTAAAGTAGAGTATTTTTAAGAGACAAATTGTTCATCACAATAGAAGTGGAATATGGTAGTGAATAGAGAGCTGGAAGCAGTTGAGTATAGGAAAATATTCGAAATCTAGCATTTAAAAAAGACTCCGTTTTCTACATCTCCAGATTTCCCAACATCGTTTGTTGAAGAAACTATTTTTTCTCCAACGTAGGATTTTGGTGTGTTTGTTAAAAATCAGAAGGCTATACCTGAGCTTATTTTGTGGATTTGTTTTTATTTTATTCCCTCATTCCCCATCACTTTTTATGCCAGTACTAAGGTGTTTTTGTTTCTGTGGCTCTGTAGTGTAATTTGAAGCCACACATTGTGATGCCTTCAGAATTACTCCTTTGCACAGGATTGCTTTGGCTATTCAAGGCCTTTGTGTTCCAAATGAATTTTAGGGAATATTTCTCCTTTTTCTGGTGAGAATGACACTGAAATGTTGAAGGGGATCATATTAAATGGTTTTCATGAGTATTGATTTTGCTGATCCAAGAACATGCAGAACATTCCATCTTCTAGACTCTCAGGGCTTCAAAAATCTCCTTTTTGCTCATAGTTGGCTTTCACCAGTTGAGGGGCTCTACCATTCAGGTCAGGCCTCCAGTTCTGGATTTTTGCTAGTCCACATATCTCACTCTTCTGAGTTGCCGGGATTATAGATGTGAGCCTCCAGGACTCAGGCACATTCATATTTTTATTCAAAGAATTAGAATTCTGTTTACCATTTCATGAATTTTACATTTGTGAACTGGACACATGGCTCAGTGGCTGTGTGCCAGTCTAGCACAAAGCCTTGAGTTCAGACCTCAGAACTGCCAAAAAAATTATATTTTTACATCTCAAAAGACTTTCTTTGCTTTTCTTGAAAACCAAGACTTCCAAAAATAGTATCTCAAAGACATCTCTTTGTGATATTATTTCTCTTAAAATACTTGTAGAATTTTTAAAAGGGATTTTAAATTTATGTTTGAAAACTGACAATTGTCTTCTTTTACTCATCCGTACAAAACAGGTCTTCATAGTACTGTAGTCATACCTCATTTATATGGAAAATGAATTAGTCATGATAAAAGATATTCTTTGCTCTCCTATCTTTTTGGTTCATATAGCCTCTGTCAAGAATCAATTACTCTGGTTCATTCATCTGTCCATCCATCCATCTATCCATCCATCCATCCATCCAGCTATCAGTCCATTTATTCATTCATTCATAGAATATGTATTAAGTACTTACAGTGTTTTAGAGAATGTACTGGTATTTGAATATGTAAGAGATACCTTAAAGGTGTATAAATCATGCATAAGACTTTCGTTTTGTGAAATTAGAGAAGTGTTAATTTTCTCATGTGAGAGTCTAGTAATGTGATTTAGAAAACTAATAGTCACATGAAATACTTTCTTGGTGAAGCTGAGCTACATAAATACTTGCAGTTTTGTTTTATTCCATAGCATTTAGTAAAATAGATATGATTGAAGCTGTCTGTGTTCAAGACATTATTTTGTACTTTTACTTTTTCATGGTAGAAATATAGAAATTATTTAGGCCTATCTAGATTCCCAGATACTCATGAGGTCAAGACAGAAGGATTGTCATCCTAGGCCAGCCTATACTCTGTGAAAAACAAACCAAAGTATAACACAGAAATTATTAACTATTTATTAAAATTGAAGAGTATGAATAACTCTCTGTCCTCAAAGTCTACCCTCTATTTTTTGTCACAGAAGATTTTGTTGAAATACTGTCATGTTATTTGAGAAGTATTTATTGTAGTCTTTGCTCAATTCTTTTTAAAGTTAATATTGTGACTTATTATTTTCAGAGGCAAAATCAGTAAAGGTTTGGAGGATCTCAAGAATGTTAGCCCTGTAGGGGAGACATATATCCATGAAGGACTAAAGCTAGTAAGTTAATTTGCATGTGTAAGTATGGGAGAAAGTATTCTGTAATAAAATGTAATTCTCTAGAAAAGCTTATAAACCCCTTTACATATTTATTTTTTGCAAGATAACCAATATGTAGGTATTTATTAATATATTATATTAATATATTTTATTCAAGCTGTTGTGTAGAAACTTAAATGAACAGGGAAATATCACATAGTAACCAAAATTATTTTAAAATATTACAAAAATAGTTATGTACATATATGTAAATATGGGGATGGACAAACAAACATACATGAAAGGCCAAAAAAGAATGAAATACACTTTTTCTCGAGTGTTTGTCAATCTTACACATTTATCTTTAAATGTTCTAAATGCTTTCAGTTATTCTGGAGATGATGTTATAAAATCATTTCCACTTACTGTAGACCTTCCTTACAAACATTTTCATTTTCATCTCTAAAGGAAGTTTCCTCTTTGGTATTATTCAGACCATAGCTAATGCTCTGTACATTTGAACCCAGTAGTATATACACATATAGGTGAAAATACACATATTTCAAGTAAAAAAATATACATATTAAAAGTAAAAGAGTTAACACAAAATATCCTCTTTGAAAAGCTAGCCAGTAATGTTTTTATTTTGTCAGTCTTATAAATTCAGCTTGATGGAGCATGGTGGTTAAAAGTTAAAATGGAATTGTGAATTGGATAATTATTCTTCATTTTCAGGCGAATGAACAAATTCGGAAAGCAGGAGGCTTAAAGACCTCCAGTATCATAATTGCTCTGACAGATGGGAAGTTGGATGGTCTGGTGCCATCATATGCAGAGAAAGAGGTGAGTACCGAACTGAACATCTTTCCAGCCCACTGGTGAACTTCCTGCCTCTGCCAGTAAGACTTGATATTTGAATAATTGTCTCACCTTCTCTTCTCTCCTCCCCTACTCACCCCCTTCCCTTCCTCCTCTTCTATCCTCTTTTCTCCACCTCCTCCACTCTCCTCCCCTTCTTCTCCTCCTTCCTCTCCCTCTTCCCTCCCCTTACTCTTCCCCTTCCTCTCCCCTTCCCTCTCTCTTCCCTTTCCTCTCCTCCTTCTCTTCTCCCTCTCCCTCTCTCCTCCTTTTTCCCTCCCCTCCTCCTCTTTGTAGGCAAAGACTTCCAGATCACTTGGTGCTAATGTTTATTGTGTTGGCGTCCTTGATTTCGAACAAGCTCAGGTGAGTAACAAAAGATCTTCTAAACTTTAAATCATGTGATTGCATGAAGGATATTTAAATTATTTTCACCCATTATAGCGATTTATTGTAATGATTTTCTATAGAATGGTTTGACTCTCCTTTAGTGTCTCTTTAATATCTCCTTTAATGGCTTGAGTTCTCCCTTTAATATATCTTTTTTGATAGCTTTCCCTGTCTTCCTCACAAGGTCATTTTACATTTAAATTTATATTTTATGTTTGCAGTTTTCTTTTCGTGAGGCTTAGATTCTTGTCTTGTGCCAGTGGTAGACTGAGTTTTGTGCTATGTAGAAATTGGAACTTGAGTCCAATGCTAGGGGGTTGTGGCTGGCCTGAGTGCATGTAATGGCGATGCATTTAGAATAACACCAATTTCAGCACTTTCAGTCCTCTGCCTTAAACACTGGCTACACTAGTGAATTCCTCCTGTGGAATAACTTTTCATATAAACATAATAAAAATTTAGTTTTACATAGGAGCTCAGATGTAAGTTTATAAAGTATTTTTGTCTCAGTCTTCCCTTCACTAAACTTTCACCTTTCTCTAAAGTTGGAAAGAATTGCCGATTCCAAGGATCAAGTTTTTCCTGTCAAAGGTGGATTTCAAGCTCTTAAAGGAATAATCAATTCTGTGAGTATGTTTGGGGGGAGGAGGGGTAGGAGAGGAGGATAACTGTACATACATCTCCCATTGTAACTTGGACTTAACCAGCTGGTATAGGTGGCCATCAATCAGCCGGAAGAGAGGGGGCGGGGGAGGTTTGTCTGCTATTGCAAACACAGTGTGAGATCAGGATATTGCTACTAATTTTTGCGCCCTTGGCTCTGCCATCCTCTGCTTGTGATTTCTAGTTTAAGATTTCCATAAACTGTCTCAGACACTTCCAACCCTTTGAATATGGAGTTCACTATTTTGATATCTTGAGACTTTCTCTAGGCTTTCTAGGAGAAATATGAAATAAAAATTTGGATTGGAATGTGTGATCACTGGCTCCTTTAACTCTGGTAGATCTCATTCAGGCAACTTGACCTACTGGTGGAATGTTTGACTGCAGTAGTTGTTCATTCCATTTAGATGATTAATAGTTTCCCTGGAACTCATCGTAGATCTGTTTGGGATTCAGCGGAGCTGTCTCTGGTGATCATTAGACTCTGGCTTTCCTGAGTGGGGCCTGGGGAAGGCGTGATGAATGCCAAGCAATGCTCCTGGTTTTCACCGCTGAGGTTTATGTTTCGTTTTACTGCCTTTGCTAGAAGTACGTACTAGGAACAGTTGCTATTAAGTATTTATGATACTTTGGAAAACACTGTCCTAAAGTGGAAGTGGATAATATATGTTCTCTAACAAAACTGTTTCCCTTAATCTTTAGATATTTATAAAAGGAAAACAACATCTTACACCTTACATTTTCCTAACTTTGGCTCTATTGTTTAGAATTGACTCTTTAAAGATCATATTTGATAGAAACCCAGAGTGAGATTTGTTGATTTTGTTTTTAGTATCATGTGTTTTTTTTTTTTTTTTTTTAAAAAAAGCTAATGGAGCTTTTTAGAGAAAATATATAATTTGGTTCAATCTCATTTCAGTACATGTAGGGGTCAAACCAATGTAAATGCAAAATGGAACAGAGATTCAGTTATTTGGGGGAGTTCATATTTATTGTTACATCATTTTTAAGGAAAAAATTATAGTGTAAAAAGTAGCAAAAATTTTATAGTTGTATCTAGTTTAAATATCTGTATAACTTAAGGTTTAAATACAGGTAAAAGGTCAGACAATGCAAAAAGAAGGAAAATTCGACTCATGTGACTCCCCCAATAAATAGATTGTTAGGTCATATAAACTATTTAAAATGATTAATTTTTCTATATAAAAGTTTAGTTCAGACTTCTCCAGATGACAGATTAGCTTTACAATATCCTATTATAATGGATTATTTTAAAAATGTTCCACTCTAAGAAATTAGTAGTTGACTACCAGAGGAAAAAAAGTTGACATTTGGTTATTTTTATATATTTTCTTGCTAAATTTCATGTTTCTATTTGTAGTGAGAAACTAGGATGTAGTTTCTAAGTACAATATAGTCCTTCAGGACTGAAGTTCTTGCTGGACATTTAGTTGCATAAATTGTGCTGAAATAAGGAAGAAGTGTAATATTTTAGCCACCAGTTGCCAACTGGTCTCTTGAGTTTTGTCCACAGGGGGATGATGGATACAACTCCTATGTTAACAGATAGCGAAGTTCAAAATACTTAGTCACAAAAGGTGGACTTAGTCATTCTCAGGAGTAAGCTAGCCTCTTGGGAAACCTTAGCAATGTCTAGCAAAGGCAGCATTAAGAAAAGGAGCCTTTATGACCAATAATGGCTGAGAAATTTTCAGTATGGTAATAATACCTTGGGATTTTGCCATGCTTTATAGAAATTTGAAGCAATTTATTTCTTCATACCTCTTTAAGAACAGAAATTACTCTACTCCTAGTGATAAACAAAACCTCAAAATTTGAGTTCTGCTTCAAACTTGAGTTGTTACATAGTTTTGTCTTACTCAAAAAATATATATTTAATGTTTAAAGCAAATCCTCACAATCTGAGGAAAAATACAAGGTATTTATTCTTAATGATTTGCCAAACTATTGTACTGTGAATGTTTTACATAAAGCTAATAAGCAAATGGAAGAAATCAGAGAACTTAAGTTTTTCAGAATTTGTCTCTATGAAGGCAAAATATTTGCTAAATTGATGGTCAGTTTCTTTTCTTGTTAGAGTCTATTTAAGTACTTCTAGCTTCTTTATTGTCAGAACATTAACTTCTTTGAAGTCAATCTTGAGAAAAATTAACAAAATTTTTTTATCTTAAACATGTTTGTGTGTGTGTGTGTGTGTGTGTGTGTGTGTGTGTGTGTGTGTGTGTGTATGTGCATTGTCTTGACCCTATATGTTTTTCCTCTTACTGTGTAAGATATCAAATATTATTAAGTTGCTACTGGCTATGAATCAAGTTTTTAATCACAAAATGTAGAGGTTTTAGTTTTGAAGACCTTTTTCATTATAATTAAAAAGAAGAAATACTGTAGTAGTTATGTTTTTTTATAACTAAAAATTCAAGAGGCTGACAAAGAACTCTTTTTTCTGAGCATCTGATGTTAACAGTTCAGTGCATTTTCACAAGTTCATTCAATTAGGGAATGAACTTAAGCATTCTATTTTAATATTTTATAAAATGTATTAATTCAACAGTTCTAGATTTCTACCCAGGAAAACGTGTATGTAATATTCTTTGCTGCTACTTCAAAACCTAATTAGTATATATGAAAATGCAAAATGTATTGTTTATTTCAAGTAAACAGTGGTAGAATACATTTCTTTTTCTGCCGACTTTCCTCAGTTAAATAATTTTCAAACACTCATTTACTGAGGATACTATCCTTACGGCTTTTGTGTTAGGATTGGAAAAAACGAACACAAACTTAAATATCAAATTTGTGACTATAATCCCTAGTTAGTTAGGAGGCTGAGATATTTGAATTCTAAGCCATAGCCTGCAGACAAAACCATGAGACTTTTTTTCCCCTTTTTTTCTTTTTTTGCTGGTCCGGGGGCTTGAACTCAGGTCTGGGCTCTGTCCCTGACTTTCTCTGTACTTAAGGTAAATGCTCTACCACTTGAGCCACAGTGCTACTTCTGCCTTTTTCAGAGTAGCATACTGGAGCTAAGAGTCTCTCAGACTTTCCTGTTCAGGTTAGCTTTGAACCGTGCGTGATCCTCAGTTTTCAGCCTCCTGAATACACAGGATTACAGGCGTGAGCCACTGGTGCTCAGCTTACCATGAGACTGTTATCTCCAATTAACCAGTAATAAGAACCAGAAGTTGAGTTGTGGCTCTTGCAGTAGAACCTCATCCATAAGGAAAAAAGAAAAAAACAAAACAACCAACAAGGGAATGTGTAATGCCCCTAGTTCACGCACCAGTATTGGCACACATATATCCACACACAATTACTTGCAAAATTTACTGCATATCATGAGGATTCAGAGGAGGGAAATGTTAGTGAGTTACACTATGGATTAAAAAAAAAGAATCTTACATTGCAATTGTTGTTAAATGCTGACAATATAAAACAATAATATAAAATATGAAATGCTATAATATCAAATGACATGAAAATAGAATATGCTCAGTGATGTGATTATGGAAAGCTTTTTATAGTGGGGTTTGGACTGGCCCCTAAAAATTGGAGCACAGTCTGAGCTGAGTAGGATGAGGGATAAATGTTGGCATGTGGTCTGTTGAATTATTCTGAAGATCATTGCATACCTGGATGGGAACTGACATTCAGTTCACAAATAATTAAGGAAAGATTATATCAATTTGAAGCCAGAGATTTCTATGATGGTCATACAGGTTTAGGAAGGGCTCTCTTATATGAATATATTGATTGATTGTAAGTTGGAGAGGCGAGGTAAACACTTCTTTATGATGTTCTCAAGGAACATGGTAAGAAGAAAACGAATGTAGTAGAGATAATACAAGGTTGGGAAAAGGGAAGTCCCAGTACCAATTCCAGCTCTGCCACTTACTGCCTAGCCATGTGGTTTGGCTGTTATCCATAATACAATCTCTCAGTGTTTAAAAATTCTCTTCAAATGGCAATGATGAGTTATGCTTCATTTGATTATTGCCTTATGAAATAATGATTAAGAGTAATCTAGGTCAGAGGGATTGGACTTTGAAACATTTGGTAGGAAGCTAAGAACAGGAAGCTAGGGCCATGTAAGAGGAAGGTATCGATCTTTCTGAAGGGCAGTCTATGTGGGTAGATATTTAGCAATATCTATATGTCAAGGTTTTCAGTATGAAAGGATGAGATGCTAGTATGTAATAGAATCAAATTCACCCACTGGATCCTAAGAGGACATTTTATTTGGCATAACTTCACAGTCTTAAGTGTTTGACTGGGCTCTAGTCCTCAGTGCTCAGGCCAAGGGATCAGGACCCAGCCAACAAATGGGGAATGAGACTCAGTATTCCCATGATAGGAATGATTTAAAATGTCAGGTCATCATATTCAGAAAAAAGCCATGCTATCTCTAGTGGAGAGGAAGTAGCCTGCAATATTAATCAGAAATTCATTGAAGAAACCCAGCTGTTAGAGGGAAATAATATTCCTATGAACTGTAGTTCTTTAGGGTTTAGGTTAGGTACAGGGATTCTATGTCTTTCAAAATAAAACTAGCCCAAAGATCTAACTAGGGAAGCCTCTAACTCTTTGCCTTGAATGGATTTATGTCAGGTCAATCTCCAGATATAAAATCATTATCTCCTGATTTGTTGGTCTCTGAGTAACATGGCAAATATTTGCTAATACATACAACTTGTGATAATTTCTTTTTCTTTTTTCTTTTCTCTTCTTCCTCTTCCTTCTTTATCCCCTCCTCCTCCTCCTTTTCTTCCTTCTCCTCCTCTTCTTTCTTCTTCTTCCTCCTTTTTCTTCCTCCTCCTTCTCCTCCTCCTGTATTCTTCATCTCTTCTTCTTTCTTCCCCTCCTCTTACTTCTCCTCTTCTTCCTCTTCTTCTTTCCCTCCTCTTACTTCTCTTCTTCCTCTTCCCCTCTTCCTCCTCCTCCTGTA